AAGTGAACATTTTGTCCTCAGAGTAGATGTGTTAGTAGCAGGCCAAATTGCGATGGCTAGACGACTGGGTCAGAGCATCTCCAAAACTGCAGCTTTTGTAGGTTGTTCCCGTTCTGCAGTGGTCAGTACCTATCAAAAGTGGTCCATGGAAGGAAAAGCGGTAACCTGGCGAAAGGGTCATGGGACGGCCAAGGCGAGCCACTGTAGTTCAAATTGCTGAAAACGTTGATGTTGGATCTGAAGTGCATCACAGTTTGTTGTGTATGGGACTGCATAACATTAGGACTACTGTAACTCTAATCTGTGTATATTTGAGGCTTCTAGAGGACAGATGTCCGGTCTTGGTGTTACGGAAGAATACTGCTGGGGTTCACCTAGCCAGTCCATCTAGACCGAATTTAAGATCAGCCATCCCCATTTCTTAACAAAGAAAATGTTTTGCCACAATTTACTGTAGTCACTAAACTTATTGCTCCCATCGTTTTTTAAGAGAATTAACATGTCTTTTAACCTTTTTAGGTTCCGGAAGCTCTGCCATCGTATCATCAATGCAACTACTTTTACCAACATCATCCTTCTCTTCATCCTACTGTCATCTATCTCTTTAGCTGCTGAAGATCCCATTGACCCCATGTCCTTCAGGAACCAGGTGATAACGTGCATGCCTATCTCACTGCAATTTTAATCATCAGTTGAAAAATTACAGTAAGAGTATGTGGTATACGTTATTATTAAAATGATAAATAATGTGATGTTTTTAGGTGTTGGCCTATGCTGATATAGTCTTCACTTCGGTGTTCACAGCGGAAATTGTGCTCAAGGTAAAACCAGACATCATAGTTTTAGATACAGATGAGTGACAAAGTAAAGAAAAAGCCTGAAGAGTGAAACATAGTGAATGTGCTTTTTACAGGTCATGATGGGTCACTGAATGGTTTTATATACTAAATTATACTAAATATAACTAAACTGAACCTATTATTTAAGGAGAATAGTGTTTATCCCTCCAATAAAGTTCCACAGATGTTGAGAATCTATGCCAAGGGTTGATGAAGCTGTTCTGGACATTCATCGAACATCTTTTTTATGTTGGATATTCTCACATGTATATTATAATGAAATACTGGTTCACCAACCACATCACTGGAATCACCCTGAAAAATATGCCACACCATCCAAACTCACTGCACTCACTGGCTGAATATTAAAAGATGTTTTCATGTCAACATAAGGTGGTTAATGAGTGCTGTCAGATACAATATTCAACTTGTAGTTGACTTCTGTAGTTGAGTTCAACTGAGGTTGAAGATGCGTTTAGAAGAAGCGGAGTGGTGACAAGGTCATGTTTAAATAGGCAAAATACATGCATGGTGGCCTGCATGTAAACAAACCCTAATCTGTATAATAATAATAATAATAATAATAATAATAATAATAATAAATATACTATATAATAATTATATAGCACCTTTTATACAGATGGTGTAGCTCAAAAGCTCAAGGTATTCTACAAAAGAGAGAAAATGCCTAGAATAAATAAAAGACAAATTAAAGTACAAATATTGCACTGACTGGTAAAAAAAGAATATTACTTTAGTGATACTTCTTAAATGAAAGAAAGCTTCAATTTATGTGGGATACAGCTGTGTGTCATCAGCCTAGCTGTGTAAATCGGGCTTATGTTGTCTGATAACATCACCTAAAGGAAGCATGTACAAAGAAAACAAGGACCATGGCAGCTTCCCTGAGCGATACAAAAAAGTAATTCAATTCCATTGATACACGATAATCACCCATAGTAACAACAAAAAAAACAGGGCACACAGAATATTCTGATCATTATATTGATCAGAATCAAAGGCTGCACTTAACCAAGACCTTCTTGGCATTCGTGCACCACAGCTAAGAGCTAAGCTAACCCAGGGCAGACCTAAGACCACTCCAGCCTACTTGTGGTAATGTTTTTCAACCAAAGGCGCTCTCTAGGAGGTTTTCAAAAAATGCTAACAAAAGTCTAACTTAAATTGGTACATGGGGAAAACCTGGACTCTGAATTACACCACTTGATAACACTCACTGACTTACAGAACAAGACGAACTGACAAAGACAAAAGGGAGACAAGGACTATTTATACCATGTGAGAGTGGAAACAGGTGAAAGCAATCTGGGGTGGGGCAGACAATTACAAAG